TTCAAATATTTCTACTGTACTTGAAAAAAAATAGAAAAAGAGAAAAGTTTCACTTAGCTACTTGAAATATTTTTGCATTTTGCAAAAGTCCAAAGTTTGGGGCATGGAAGTTTTCAGAACAAGTCCACTTGGGTAAATAATCATCCTTTAAGTGTTGTTTTTAGCATCTTCTGTGGGATTTTTGAACCACCTTTTTCCCTTTTTAAAAATACTCTCTTTTATTGAGTTGTATAAGAATTTGGTTTGAAAAATAAACACACAATATTCTGTTAATTCTAGCATTGAGAATGGGGTAAACATTACTCAGTACAAGTGAGTGAGTCTACCAGGAACGCGATACGTCGTAAGTAACAACAGATTTAGTAGCTATGAGAACATGAGACCCTGTTGAAGTGAGTGTTGGTTTAATTTCATAAAGACAGTGTGCCAGAACTGTGTTCATAATCCACAGAAGTCATTCATTTATTTCCTGTATTTCCTCTTGAAGTTGAGTTCTGCTGGCAATTAATTTCACTTAGCCCTTTCAGATCAGCAGTAGGCTAGTGCTACCCGGAGCTAGAGATGGGGTAGGGGATTGTTCCTGAGCACCTCGAGTCTTTGGTGGTGCATCGGACTGACAGTTTCCAAGGTGGATGCAAGCCCAGTCTGAGCCACAACTGCATGCAGGTCTCGGTCTAAGTTAACAGGCTGGACTAAGAGAAGAGGCAAGTGCATATTACTTCAGGCTCTGCGCCATTCCAGCTGGCTGGAAGGCTTCTGCCTGACCTGGCTTGGATCCTGAGCAAAGCAAGCCTCGATCTATCTGCAGCGTACCGTACAGACGTGCACTAAAGCACTTGGTATTACGTGTGGAGGGAAGGCAAACGTTTTCATGCTGATTTCTGATACTGTGATTCACTTAGCACGTTTTTAAGCATGGGCTAATCCCTGTCCTAGATTGAAATGTTATTCTCTGGTTTCCACTTCGGAGCAGAGCATTGAGTTCATTTTAGGATTGTTATTTCTAATGTGTGATAATATAAAGGCTAAGAGTGGGTCTGTTTGCAATGACAGGCTTGTGCTTTTTTCCAGACCTTGACTATCTACATGGATCACTTTCCTAGTTTCTTGTTGGGAGGATCCTCTACCAATGTTTTAAGCTATAATTAGACCCCACACAGAGCAGAGCGTGTTCTCTCTCGTACAGATGTGGATTGATTTAAAACGATGTTCCTTGTTGCTTCTCAGTTGAAATTGTGTCTGGCTGTGTCTTAATTTATGCAGAGCATGGGGTGAGTCTTTCAGTTTAGGTTCAGCCCGAATGTGTAATGTGAATGTTTTCAGAATTTATGATGCCTCTGGTATGAAAGAAGGTGCTGTGTAATTGAGGGCTGACTTTGGGTGTTTCAGAGGTGGGTGGCTGTTTGCCTGGTGTGCTGCCCAGGATTGACTGGAGGTCAGCTGGTCAGTATTTCAGTGTTTTGTGGTGTTCTGTTTGTTAAGGATATACCTGGGCCGTATTAATTGTACATGGACTTTTCCCAATACCCCATCCTACGCATGCAATGTCACTAGCTTCTTTTTAAGGATCTTCTGAAGTGAGAAGAGCATATAGACTGACCTGATGTAGTTTATTCATGTGTTATGTTGCATGCATATGTTTATGCATTCATGCCTTTTGTATTTGGAATCATAGATTTCACTATTTTTAAATATTACCTAGATTGATTACAAATAGCAGTTAGGTTTTTGATCCCTCTGAAAAAAATTTTTAAAAAATGCTGAAACAATGACAGAAGATGTTAAAGCTGTGGGGAAAACCTGCTATTGTTTTCCACCAAGTGTTTTGTGCAAGATAAGAACTAGGATATGACATTAAGAAAAATGCTTATAGACTACTTTCTCTTATTTAATGACCTTGGAGTAAAATGAACCCTTTCCTCTTCTGGGGTTAGTATTTTTTTAGTATTGTCTCAAATTATTGAAAAACATTGAGCAAGTGACATGAACAGGACAAATCAAAATCAATGGGACGGGAAAGTGCTACAATCTGTTTCCATGAATTTTACATAATTGTAAATGAATTTTACTTAATTGTAATCAGGTTAAGAGAATAAAGAAAGAGGATGCTAATTTGGTCTTTGCTGTTTTACTTTTTGTTGCTGTAGTATGTGTGAATATTAACAAAGTATAGTGTTTGTTTTTTTTTTTTTTAACTGTTGATTTGAATGCTAAATGTAGTTGTCCACTGGCTGATTGTTTAGGATTTACTTCAGTAACTTAGGGTGGCATAGCAAAGATTTTAATGAGTTGCGGTACACTTATGTTCCAATTAATATTTTTCAATTGACCTTCCTTACTAAGCCTGGAGTTTGCAGATAGTCCTCAGTTTCAACTTCTGGCAGCTCTTCTTGCAAGAAGCAAACTTCTTGCAAAGAGGCCAAGGGTTATGCCAAATTTTGTACAAAA